CCGAAGTCGCGGCCCTCTTGACAGTGATAGCGGGCATTGCGATGTGAACCTTTATCACAATTGCTGGAGCTGCTGCTTTGGGCTTGGCTTGTGCCTTTGCTTGCTGTTTGGCGTTCGTGCTGGAGTGGATGCTTTGGGGCTTGCTAGTTCTGCATGCTTGTATTTGCATTGATCCCCTTTCGTGCACTTTCCTTCTCCCTCTTTGGTGAAGGAGTCCTTGGTGCTTTGCCGCCGCCTTTGCCCTTGCCTTTCTCATTGTCCAATTTGTACTTGTGCTTGGGGTTGTGGGAATATGGACAATCCTTGCCTTTAAGACATCCTCCTTCCTTCGTGTAATGGAAAACACATGGCCATTCCTTCTTCGCTTCGGGGCTCATGCTTTTTCCTTTTCCTTTGCCCTTCTTGTCGTGGTCTTTTGCTTTGGCGTTGGGGAACACTTGTGCTGCCGTGTTTCCGTCTTCATGATCGGCTTCCTTCCCGGAACCCCCTCCTTTTCCCTTTCCTTTCTTCTTCTCTGCTGGTGCCGCATTCTTGTTGCTGCTCAGCAGGTTCTTGACCGACTTCTCTTTCATGTCGTAGACGTAGTCTTCTCGATCAGTCCGAAGTTGTCGATCAATCAATCCCAAAAAGAATCGGTAGTTCTTCTCGGGGTGTGCGTCAGGTAACCGCGCGTAGGTATTAAGACCAAATTCCAGCTTCCTGCTTCCTTTGATCTTGTGATATAGGATATCCCGTAGCGATTTCTCTGGGTGTATCCTCCTTCCTCAGGTTGGGCAAGATATCATACCATTTGTTGCGGAACACTGACATGTTCTTGTCCCCGGGGTATTCCAGTCTGATCAAGTGCTCAATGGTGAAAACCATGTCTGATCGGTCACTCGATCTGAAGGATTGCAAGATGATAGCGATGATCTCTCTTCCCTTAATCTGTTCTCTCTTTGGCGTCGTTCGGCGATCTGCTGAAGCGCTGGTGACGTTCATGGCGAGGGCCATCTTCCAGCCGTCCAGCTTCGTGATCTTCGGCCATGGAGGTACGTTGACTTTCTCAGCCTCCTTCCGTGATATCCTCAGTCGATCATTGTTGTGACTTCTGCGATCTCTCGACCTCCTTCTTCGCGATGATCTCCTGTTGCGACGACGGTCATCATCATCATCATCATCATCATCATCATCATCATCAGATGGTTCTTCTTCGTCGTCTCGTCTCCGTCATCATGCTTTGGCTCAAGTTCTTGACAAGTGGATCAAGACAAATATCCAACGGAAAGCTGTGAAGAAGCAAAAGGACCGTGCTCCGTGTTGCAGGTGGCTGTGAGACAACGCAGGCCATATTATCCTTACACCCCCTATTTACACCGACCCCTACTACACGGCTTTACAACCGAGGGTAGTGGTCACCCCACGAGATTCGAACCCCAACTGCCTTGTCATCGACTTCGTGGTTGATTCGCCTCCTGGCACATACATACATACATACATACATCAACCATACATACAGACACACATGCATACGTACATACATACATGCATGACATTACCTTACATTGCATTACCTTACCTTATCTCACATTGTGTTACACACACATACACACATAACGTCATAGAACAAAATTACACCAGCCTCGACCCCAAACAGCAAAAACATAACAGGTCTGTATAACCAAAAAAAGGCTTGTCTCCTTCATGTAAGGTGCGAAATTGAGTAGCAACACATAGTTACAGTCAGTCCATGTTTGTCCCTGCAGGAAGTCCCCTTTTTTGGGAAGAGGACACATCGGGTCCATCCATCTCCTGACGCCGGGTAAAAGCATCGATTTTGTTCATCGACTTCGAGAAGAAATTCCATGTCATTAATGCCATGTTCGAGAGTAAAGGCCGCGGGGATTCGGGGTGAATCAACCTAACACCTGGCATTAATCAAAGGAAGTTTCGAAGGAACCTTCGTAGTACGGACACTCAATGCACTTTTCCATCACCGCAGCATTTGGTGGCCGTCTCGCTACTCTGCTGAAACTTGCGCATCAGTTTCAGCAGCTTGCGGCCGAGACTGGACACATGCCACTTCTGGTTGCTATCTTCTTCTTGAGCTCTGCTAAAGGTCTTGCCACAAGCAAAGCAAGAAAGCACTTGCATAAACTTGCAGACTGCGCCTTGTAGCGTTACGGCTGGGACATCCTCGCCTAGCAACGCAGACACACGCCACGCCAAATTGGCAAGCGTCAGCAAAGGTGCCCGTTTAGCGCGCACCTCTGTCACCCGATGCAGCTCCAGAAAATCCTCAGTGTTTGAGCTGGCAGTAGCTTGGTCATCCAGGGCCTTCATCTCTGTCGTGTCCAGCGCGCCGCATGCTCCCAAGATGGCTTTGAACGTCAGCTCCAGCCCTGCTCCATCTCGGAAACGTGTGAGAACTTTGCCCCAACTTACCAATGCTGGCTGCACAGTGGACACCACCAGCTTGGCCGGGTCCATCTTGGAGTTGGTGCTTATGGTTCGCAGATTGGTGTTCACATGTGTGGTGAACGGCCGGCCGTCATTCCAATGCACGCCGCTGGCAACAACCTCTGGGCCTTGCGTTCACTCAGCTCCAGCAGCACTGTAATCAACTGGCCGGGTTCGTGAACTCTTTCCAAGTTGTCAAGGTCAGCGAAGTAGGTTGCCAAGAAAAGGCTCCTATGCATCAACCAAGTTTTTCGAGGAGAACTCGACAAGTCGAGGGACGATGCGAACAACTCTTACGAGCTAATGGTTTGGTTGGGGACCCGACTCACCCAGGCTTTACTTCTAGGACAATAGAAAAAACCTTGGAGCTTGGACCCCCCCTTACGACGCAACAAGATGATAAGCACGCCTGCTTGACGGTGTGTTCGCTCGTCCCTTTCTGCGATGGCACCAGATCTCCAAAAGCAAGTAATGAGGAAACCACCAAGCCACTCTGCGATTGGCGAAAATGCTCTTGTTGAAGCACAGCGGCGTTAGCAACTCTTATTCGATTATACAGCCACCGAACATGTGTCGAAACATGGCCATGACCGTGTGTCCTGGTTGCAACCACCACATTGGGCACCAGAGCCGCCAATCCGTAATGTTGCTGGGGAGCCCGCCACGCACGCAGAGTGTCCAGCAGCAGCACCGAAACCTTTTGCTTGAAGGGAGGTTGGGCGTGGACCGCTGATTTCAAGATTTGCGGGTACAATGTCTTGGACATGCCAGCGGCCCGCGTGAAACAGCTCGCCGGGCAGAAGATCGGCATCAACAGCTTTCCCTCGCTTCGCCTTCCGCATTTGGGTTTCTAACACAACAAGCGTGGTTGTTCCTCGCAAGGAGTTTGCAGGCTCCGGCAGAGTTCAACTGTCGTTGTCACACATCCTCCCTCCTGCTTCGTGAAATATTCTAATGCGGGGGAAAGCGGTGACTCCTGCGGCAGAAAACGCCTGGCTGCCTTGCTTTTCTGCTTGGGCAAGCACCATTTGAGTGATTTGCAAAGCGCGCAAATACCACCCTGGTGTTCGGCCTGGCTGGCCTCCCAAGCCAAATGTTCAACAAAGGCAGCCTTGGCGGAGCGAATGGAACGAACTAGATCTGCGTGGAAATGGCGCAGCAGAAGGGGAGCTGCAGCGACATCGCCACATATCGCTTGGTGCTTGTTGCGCCGATGCAAGCCAAGCTCTGTCAAGCCGTGTTGCGTGACAAAGTGCTCCAACTTGCTGCCTCGCACTTCCACCCTTTCCGAATTGGTGGATTGCCAGGAAAGCAAATCTCACACGCTTCTCAGTACGCTAGCACCTTCCTTTCTGTAGGCCGTGGTAGGGGGTACAACGATAGCAGCTTTGTTCGTCGACCTTCGTACTGCCTGTTACTTGGTTGCTCGCGAAGCTGCTGTTGGCTGCTACCGTCAGGACGGCTCGCTCGACGACGTCCTGGACAGGCTGCAGCATGATCCAAGCGTGAAGCAGCTAGTCCTTGCGCACTGTAGTGAATCCGGATCGTCTGTTTTCTGCGAGCTTTTCTCGGGCTCTGCCAACGCGCCACAAGGATGAAAACCTGCACTTGGCCAAGAAGCACGGCTCTGGCTTCCAAAAAGCAGCTCACAGTATCCTGAGCAAAGCAATCAGCCGCATGTCCCAGTATATTTGTTTATCAAGAAAACAGACCAGTTGAGCAAGAAGCTGGCGGATGTCACGGTATTTGTTTACCAAGAACAGGGCTAGACACATGGAGACAAGCCCGGGGCCAGCGTCACAGCATCCAGACACAGAGAGACAAGACTGCGAGACAAGCGGGAGACACAAACTGGGGCCAGCTGGCGTCACAGCGTCTGGCATCCGACTGCAGACTGGGAGGGATACAAGCGCGAGACACCACCCAGAGCCAGCGTCACAGCATCTGGCATCTGACCGCAGAGACTGGGAGACACAGGGAGACAAGCGGGAGACACGACCCGGAGCCAGCGTCACAGCATCTGGGGGAGACACACCGGAGCCGGCGTCACAGCATCTGGCATCTAGCGGTACATACATACACACATACATCCTGCAAAGGGGTGGGAGTGCATGGGTTGCATAAGCAAGACCCTAAAAGAAAATGGGTACAGCCAACCTGGCGTAAATGACCGAGCCTATGGACATATGCATCCTGTGGACAAACATTGAGTTGTATAACTTATAACTATGAAACATGTACTTTTTCCAAAATTGGTAGGTCGAAATCGGTGTTTCATTGAGGCACTTTGTAACACGTCTTTCTTTGTCTGCGATGATACGACCTACTCGCCTGCCGCAGTTTCGGAAGCGCCCCAAACACAAAAGTTGTGTTTCGCCTCACAGCGGCGAGGGAGCCGGCAGCCTTTGTTTTTGGGGGTTGTCAAATCAGCAACGGTTGATTTGCTATCCCTGCCACTTAGATTCTAAGTAAGAGGTGCTTTGATGCCGGTAAGATTACGAGGCCAGCGTAACTGAAACCAGGGAAGCGAGAGTTGCTGCCAGTTCGTCTGACACCTGCAGGCTGAGAGCGTTTTGACAGCTGCTGGCTTTGCGCTTGCTTTAGATGACGCTTGGACCCAAGCATCGCGATGGCATCGATGGAAGCAGAACTGCACGCCTTAGAGTTTTCGGGGTTTGGTGGGGCTCTTGGTAAGACGCCCCACCTCTTGGGTGTTTAATTCATTGGTTAGAAGCACCTTTGAGCAGCATGTTGGGAAGACGCATCAGTGGGAATGCCCTGCGCAGTTTCCTGAGGCAAGTCAGACTTTTGCGACCTTTAGCCAACCTCGAAGTCATAGTAGGAACGACATGACTTCCTGCTCAGAGATTCCCTATGACTTTTGCCTTCCCACTGGTAGTGGCAGCTGTTCATAGGGTCAGGCAGCCCCGAAGTGCAAGAATGTGCTCTTGGGGTCTTTTATGGAGAGTAGTTCTCAATCCCTAGCATGGTGCCAACCAGCAGGCCAAGCGTTTGTTTCTACATGCGAATTGGTCCACTTATCCGTGGTTGTCCGGCATTGTTGAAAACTGGGCTCCATGTGTTGGAAGTGCTGGGCCTGGTCACACTGAGTCAGTCTGATCCTACAATGCAGCTGCACAGCTCGAGGCTGCGAATGAAAAGGGCACGTGATGCGCGTGTGCCTTCTGCGCCTCCCCTGTTGCTAGGATTAGGCTTGACCTCCTCTGGCGTCTTCAAGCGTTGCGGTAGTTTAGGTTGTCAAGGCTGAAGCATGATTGTTTTGGGGCGTTCTATGTTTGAGACAGGCCCAGCGGAGCCGACCCTTTCTGCGATGGAGGCCAATGCAGGGGAGTGGCCATTTGGAGGGGCCCGGAAGCCAATTCGCAGCGAAGGGTTCCAGTTGTGTTTGTGAGATGCGTTCGTGTGTTCACAAGCGGCAAGCGTTCAAAAGCGTCCGCATGTGTCCGCAAGCGTTCGCCAGTGGAAAGAGTTGCTGGCCTGCTGGTGAGCTGCCAACTGTTTTCTTTGACATATTTGCCCGTCGCCTTCACCCAGTGAAGCAGATTGTCTGCTTTGAGCCTTTTCATCTTGTCCCAGTCCTCGTTGCGACCGTGCGATCCCCATTGCACGTCTTGCTGGCGTACTTACTGTTACTGCTTAGTCCTACGGGCTCGGCCGCCGTGCTTCATTTAATCCAATCTTGAACATGGCGACGACATTTAGCTGCGCACATGGTCCTGCTTCGCCTTTACTGCCTGGTTTTATTTGGGATATGCTTTTGTCTCATGTGCTTTTTGTCGGACGGTAGCTTTTCGGATAAGTCCGGTGTGTGCAAACTGGTGGAAGACGAGTGGGCTCAAAGGCGGCATTGGGCAAGGAATGTGGCCTCTTTGCGTTTGCCAAGGGCGGTGACCGCAAAGTGCCGGCAAGCTCGGACTCGGCTCTGGCCAGAGAAATGAGGTCAGCGTTCGAGGCGAGCTTCAGTTGGCTGAGCCTGTGCCCTCTTCCTGCGGTTCTTTTTGCTGCTTGACTCCCTGTCCAGCTCCTTCGCTTTGTTTGCCTGATTAGCGTGTGGCTTGCTTCCAACAGGTTCAGGGTTCTCGAAACTGGTGCGGGTCAGTGAATGAATGGAATGCACTGTCGGTGGACGTTGGGTAACTGGGTTGTGATTCACTGCGACGGGCCAATAACGGGGCCATCACGGGACTTGCGACGGGCTGCACGACGGGACGGGGGGTGGAAAATACAGTTCATGACAGGATGTGACATGTTGGGGCTTATACGAGGGGGTGGGCAATATAAACACCCGTGAGTTACACGATGGCACCCGCGATGAAGACATTACGAGACCTGTGACGCGCTATACAAGACGAATCCACGACGGATTGAGTGATTGGACTACGACGTCACTAACATGGGCCAAATAATTGGAGGGACGTACCACGGGCCATGTGTGGGGTATTACGACGGGCTAATGAGGGGGCTACGATGGGACGGGGGGGCCAGAATACAATTTATGAGAGGATGTGATATGTTGGGGTTTACACAACGGGATGGGCCATATAAACACCCATGGGTTCCACGACGGCACCCGCGCCGAAGATATTGCGAGATCTGTGACGGGCCGCACAAGACAAGTCTACGACGGATCAAATGATTGGATTACGACAGGCCATGTATCCGTAAGAGGATAGCCGTCACCAACATGACCAAAGAATGGAGGGGGGACGTGTCACGGGCCATATGGGCACGACGGGCTAATGACGGGGCAACGACGGGATTTGCGACGGGCTATATAACGGGATGGGGGGGCTACAACACAGTGTATGATAGGATGTGACATATTGGGGTTTATACGACGGGATGGGCTATATAAACACCCGTGGGTTTTACCACAGCGCTCGCGACGAAGCTATTCCGATATTTATGACGGGCTATACAAGACGAGTCCACGACGGAGATAGGCTATGTATCTATGAGGGGATAATCGTCATTAGAATGGGAGGAGGGACGTGTTATGGGTAATGTGTCGGGGATTAAGATGGGCTAATGACGGGGTCGTGACGGAACTTGCGACGGGCTACACGACGGGACGCGAGGGGCGATAATACAATTTACACGGGATGGATTATATTCATCCCCGTGGATTACACGATTGGCACCCGCGACGAAGTTATTGCGAGACCTATGATGGGTCACATAAGACAAGTCTACGATAGATTAAATGTTTGGATTATAATGGAGGAAGGGATTGTGAAATATATTTTCTAGTGAAATTCTATCGGGCCGCCTTTAATGACATACGTATTTAAGAACGATGAGCCCGGCCCTAGTATATTTGGAGAATGGTTGTGGACGTTTTGGTCTCGGTTTATAGGTTATTTTTGATAGGTTAGAATATATTGGATTTATTTTTGATTTGGGAATTGAATTTTGAATTGGATTGAAATTAAATAAAACATTAATTCTTTAATTTTTAAAATTAATTTAAATTATTTATTGGGAGATTATATTATATATTTTGTGATGAATATATATTAGATATATTATGTTTTTGTATTTGTGGTTGGTTTTTAATATGATTTTATTGGATTGTTTTTAGCGATATAGGATGTTTTTTTTGGTATATTTGAGAATGATTAATTTGGCATTTAGTGAATTTTATTATTTGTATTTGGAAAAAAATATATGTTTTATATATAAAGATTTTTTTAAATTCTTTGATATATATAATAAAATATATTGGCATTTGAATTATAAAAAAATATGTTATCGACTTATAAATTTTATTTTATTATTTATTAAAACTTAGATTTTAATTCCGAGAATTTGGTTTTGTTGTCGTTTTTGTGTTTGATATAGATTTTCGTTTGGCATATTTGAAGGAATATTATATGAATTATAGATAAAATTATGGATATTTATTTAGGAAAATAAATAAATTCATTTTTATTTTAGAAATTATTTACAATTTTGAACATATATTGATTATAATTATATTGCCGAAATTTGTTTTCATTTGAATTATAAGATGGCTCTGCCAATATGGATTCCTTTTGTTTGGAGGCTTAAGCATATTTACGAGATTTATTTATTCGAGGAATAAAGTATAGAATTATTTTTTAGATGAGCAATTTATTTTTGTTTTTTTTGCAGGATATGTTTAATATGAAAGACGAAATTAATATTTTGCTTGTATATAATTTATAATTATGATTTTTTATTATTATAAATCTATCGATTTATGAATCATAAATTTATTTAAATATTTGTGCCCCGAAATGATATTGGTTTTGTACTTGGACAGGTTGTGGAGTTTAATAACGTTCTTCTTTATGAATTTTAAAATCATTAATTTTGTTATGTATTCGATTTTTTTTTAGAGATATAAACTATTTTATAGTTATTTTAATAATAGAAAAATTTAGATTACAATTCTATTTTTATATATAAGGGTTATATGTTTATGCTAAAATATAAATATTCTATTTAATTATTCTTTATATTAAAGAATAATCAAGGAAATTTTCTAGAAATTTTTAAATTAGGATATTTTTTTTTGTTTTATATTAAATTTAGTATATATATAGTTTTCGCCATTGTTTCGCTTTAGACGAAGATGAAAGTAGCATCGAATAGTTTGCGAAATATCAATAGGATTGCGAAATTAAGATGCCGTGATTAATATTTTTTTTTTTTTTTCCCCCCCTTAAATTCCTTATTAATTTAAAAGAATTCTTTAATTATTTCTTTAATAAATATCAAAAATAATTAAATATATTCAAAATTAAAATTAACTCATTAATTTGATTTAGGCAATTCAAATCTTTATATATTTATTTTATAAAACAAAATCATAATATTCCTTATATGTATTTTTCTACACCAATTTTTCCGGAAAATTAATCCGGGTTATCCTTAAACAATATAATCGTCTCATAGTTCTTATATATTTATTTAAATCTTTCCGAATTACCATTGCTTATAAAGCCTAATTTATCGTGTTTTTTTCTTTTTTTTATATTACTCGGTTTATTTACCTATAAATTCATTATATTTTCCAAATTATATTCAAATCATAAAACATATAAATCAATTATATCTTCCAAAAATAACCCAACCCAATTTACCAAAATATCCATAAAAATTTCAAAAATAATTCAAAAAACAACAAACACAAATACAATCAACAAATATATAATATATATAATTTATCATATTATTTTTTATTTACAAAAAAACTATCTAATAAATATAATTTATATTCAAAAAAACACACAATTCAAATTATATATAAATCAAAATTATATTAATTATTTATTTTATATTTTAATTATATATTTTACTAAAAATAAAATTAAATAAATTTGGTTTGCAAACAATACAACAACAAATAGATATATACACATATATCATAAACATAATATTTCTCAATAGATTACCCAATTATATATATTTTCTATATAATTCAATCGATTTAAGTAATGTAACATTTTATTACTTGAGGAGCGGGTGAACGAAAGCTAGCAGTTGTTGCATGAGATGGGTCGGTGACAGAGTGGAGTCATAGGTAGCTTGTGTACAACGAGAGGCCCGGCAAGATTCGTAGGATGCGACACGCAAACGCACATGGTGGCGTGGCAAACCTTGAAAAATGAAAACAACGAGAGGCGTCAGAAGCTGTCTGAAAGCACCTCTGGGTTCTGCATGCTGCGTGTGCAAAGATTCTTGCGAGGTGGTTTACCGAGAAGACTGATGTCTCAAATGAACAAGCTGAATCGGTGGAACATGTAAAAGTTCGTAGCACCAAGTCCAAAACGGGCAAACCGAGACTGCTGAACACTGAGCCACTGCCCGGGGGGGGGGGGATGGACCAGGGAGGAATCGAGCCTGGGACCGGGGGGGGGGGGTCTAAATAATTGATGTTTTTCAATCTTTTCGGCTCAAATAATTGAAAAAATCAATCTTTCGGCATTTGAGCCCCTTACCTTGCTTACGCAAGGAGAAACTTCAGCTAGCTAAAGCTAGCTTTCGTGATTATGTATAATTTTCATTTGATCGTAATATTGATAGGTTGTGATTTTAGGCCATTTGGATCTATTTGGAATATTTCTTTTAAATCAAGCCCCAAGCGACTGGCACGCTCCTTTTTGAAGACATCGAAACGTTCATTATCCGTTCAGGAGTTACTGAATTATGAGTCTACGTCTCCTTCTGGCCTAGCTCCTGAAAATCAAATTAGATGCATCTGTGCGACACAGCAAAGCTCAGAAAATGAGTTCCTGTCCGCAAGTCTAAACAAAACAGAGCTGCCTCATCAAAACACATGAGCGTTTATGCCTTGCTTTGGAATGCAAGCTGACCTATTCTGTTGCACTGCTCGCATGGAACTTTCGGACAAAACATATTTTTGCGCTGAACAAAGGACACATAAAACGACGCACACAAGCTGTCACAGGCCCGCGCCTCTCGCCGCGGCCCGCCGAAAGTCGCAACGTAGCTATCCTTCGGAAACAGCTCTCTGCCCCTTTTGCTTCGTGACTGTGGGCTGTCCCTGCGAAATGCCCGATGAGGCAAGTCGTTGAGCAGAGTGTTGCCGGTGGGATTGTATGTGCCTGAGCACGCCCAAAAGGAAATAAGCGATCAAACACACAACCCTGATCAACCCACATTACCATCACATGAATTATCACATTTGCACATGAAACTTCACATCTGAGTGCAACTCTTGGGACATGCGCGTCGGCACGGAATGTTGGCGGTTCTGGTCGCTCCATTCCCAACTGGCAAGCAGCTCGCACAATTCAACGCATGGAACGGTTGCATGGCTTCAATTTGGATGCAGCTCATACCCAAGCACAACGCATCACCAGCAACACGAACAAGGAAGGTGTAACATTATCATATTCCAGAATTGCAGTTGACAGCTTTCAAAACGATCACGGACCTCACGGAGTTTGGCATTTAAGGCTTCTCGGCTGCTGGACCTGCTGCGAGACATGGCAAGTCAACGGGTACATTTCAAGACAATCACGAGCCTCACCATTCGAGCATCGCCCAAGCTACTTGGAGGTGCCGCAATAGGCTCACCTCAGTAGCTTTGCTAGATGCTATTTCCTTCCAGGATTCACATGATAGCTCCGGCCTTGTTGCATGCTGGTAGCCCCCTGTCAAAGATTGGGCTTACTCTGTACGTCTCACCGGCATGGCAAACGCAAGCCTCGCCCAAGCGTTGGAGCCGGGACCTTAAGTTGTCATATGGTCATCTGCAAAGCACGAAGCAACTTGAACGTTCGAATCTGGGCACTTTGCATCAAAGTTTGGTACCATTCGTCCTGCATATGTCAAACCTTCCGTTGGCACAACATTCCCTACACGTTGCAGAAACTCCTGCACTGGCGGGGCTCTTTCCTGGCTTTTGGCCTGGCTCTTTGAGCACAAAACGAACACGACAAAAAAGCACGGCAAACTCACTGAAACACTATTCCCTGGCGCCTCTCTGGCACGCCACCAGCGAGGGGCTTCCATCTCCGATGGGATCGGACTGCGTCTTGGGCTCGGATGGCTGGGCTCAAAGCGAGGCTGGGACAAAGTCGGCTGTGGTAACGTCAGCTGTGGGCTGCTTTCCGGCCGCGGGAACGGTATGGGCCCTTCGGCCGCAAAGGGCGTCTGGCAAGCAACTGGTTCCCGAGAGGGCAAACTTTGTCTCTCTCTGGTTGCTTCCCACCTCAAGTTCAGCATGACAACGGCTGATGCAGAATCGCTCGCGCAACAAGCTGCCGACGGCATTGATTGCGGCGACGACTGCACATGCGCAGGCGCAGCAACCTTAACAAGAACAATGCATGTGTTGTGCTCGTCAACTCCCTGACTCAGGGGGGCGCATCTCGACGCTGCCCACAAATCCGGCAGAACATGGAGTCTGGCAAGTACTCCTGAAAGGAACCAATTCGGAAAAATATTGTGTTGCCTGGCAAGCCCTCTGCGAGCAAATTCCATATCAGCATGTCTCTGAGTACTCAGGGCATTGCCGTGTCGCAGCAGGAGCACCGCACAATCGGCGGAATTCCCTGCAAAAGGTCGAAACAACTGGTAAGCCGAGTCACAGCACAGCTGCCAACAGTTTGCGTGTTGCCCAAACATTGGCGCTAAGCTACAACTGTCTGCGGTTGGGTTGCTGGAGAAGCCCGGGGTGAGCTCCTGGTGTCAAGTAACTGGCCAATGCTTACACGTCATGCAAGACTCCTTGGTGACCAGCGGCTACTCAGAGGCGGGGCGCTGCCACCGCGAATCTGGGACCTCTCAAAATTTCGGCTCAGCGGTGCTCAGCGTCTTTTTCTTGCAATTTGATGTCCCGGACTCGCGACGATCATCTCTGCGGCTTGACAGGAATCAGCAAGGTCTAATGTCAGGGAAAATAGTATAACTCGCCAAATAACCCCCTTCAGTTTTGGTGGAAAAACCCTTCCTTGCCTTGCTCGGATGCCAGTCAAGGCCTCGGCACCAACACACGAGCTGAGCCAACACTACGAATTCAACCAGACTGGACCATGTCTTTTGACAGGCTTGGGGCTGGGGCTGGTTTCAGGGCAGCGCAACTTGCCGGCGGATTACCGGGGGTGACCTTGTGATGCTGAGTGTCAGAAGTTGCGGCAACCACACAAATGCCAGGCGGGCCGATGACGTTGGCCTTGCCGACATGGTCTCTTCGATGCCTCACGCGCAGTCTGTGCAAGGGCCATCATGTCGTGCTCTACACACTTGGGTATGCAACTCTATCATCGGATCAGCTTCTTTTTCATTGCGCGCCTTCTGGCAGCATAGACGGTGCCTTAGCTTGCTATGAAACGGCATTTGCAAATTCTCTGTGTACTCTGGGTAGCAAACCCTGCCATGGGGTTGGCTTCGGGATCGCGTCGTCCTGTGCGCTGATCCAAACTTGCATGTCGATCATCTTGCAAACTCAATCCCGGCACAACGCCTGCTTTGCGAGGGCCTCAGTCATTGACTAATTGAGCTTTCAACTGTGAATGCAGCAGTTGTCAAACTGCATCAATGAAGTGTGCGGCTCAATGACACAAGTGTGGACACTGTCTACTTGTGTCCACATCCAGACTCTCCAACCACAACAACAAACTGCCATGATTTTCCCGCGGCGCGCTCGCCCCTGGTGTTGCTTCTGGCTGCCAGAAACAAACAAACATGACATTTGGCAGGGGTTTTGCTCGACATTGTGTACAACATTTATGAAACTTGCAATCATGCGTGCTTGGAAGGCCGGCGCTACTGTCAATCAGAGCTTTGAAATGTGATGTGGACGGGTGCGAGTGCAATCATCTTCTTTTTGCACGCTTCACTGGGGTACTGTCCATGGTTTGGTCTGCCGTTTCAGCTACGTTCTCACTTTGAAAGGACATATTGCTTGGTCAACGCTTTGACATGCCCCAAACTCAGCTCCCTTGGCCAAATGCTGCAAAGCTGAAATCGTACTGGCCAACAAAACAAGGTCCACCTTCCCTAAAAACGTGGAGTCCGCTCAACTCCAAAAAAGGAGCAACACGACGATCGTTGTATAGTCAACACGACGCTGCTCGTTGTATAGTCATACACATTTTAAGAATTTCACATGTGGCAAGCTACCAATGCATGATCGGTCTCTCAAAACATCATCTGGGAATCTGGCGAGGCAGCTCCTCAGTGCATACGTTGAGGTGATGTTCTCAGGTGCTTTGTTTTGTTTCCTCGGCACAATCTACATTCACATCCCGACGAATGTGTACAAACATTTTGCCAACGCCGAAGGAAGGTTTCTGCCGAGGCTCGGGTCAGCACATCCAAACTGGGCCAGGTCCTGACACAAAACAGGATATCGCGGACACTGAGTTCGGGACCCGCCTGTGCCGCTCGATCCACTTTGCCTCAACTTTTGAGAACATCTTTGAAATCGATCTAAACGCACACAACTAACAACATAAGGGCGAACATCAGTTTAGCGCTTCCCAAACATATACCGTCTGCGGCAACTCAGTATCTTGACCAACAACATGTCATGTTTCAAAATCTCGGGGCTGCGCGAGCATGCGGAGGGAGCCAAGACCAAGCTGTGACCGCCCGTATTGCAGAGACAACGCCTCAAGAGGCAAGCAGGAAAGTGACACGTGTTGACTTCCAATGCCTGGATACCAATTGTTGCAACACTTTGCAGCAACTCCGGCCAGTCCTCGCAAAACAATGCTTCAAGCCAACTCATGTGGCGTACTGGATACACTACGACTCCTGCTCTTCAAACGCGAGCAGAAAGTGGCGCACCGTGGCATTTTCCAACAACTGCTCCGAAATCTGCGCCTGAACATGCGTAACAAACCCAAACGCGGCCAACTGATCTCGCAGCAGACCATTTCGTACTTGTCTGCGCGGGCCGCAAGCTTGTCTGCCTGGGGCACTTCTTGCAAAATGGACACGAGGATGGTACGCTTGCATGTTGTTTCAGACTGTTTCATGGCTGGCCTCCCGCATCACAGCTTTGACCTGCGGCACGTTGGCACAATGGGGGCTGGGCGTCAGGTTCCAAGCAATTGATGCGTGCAGCAGCAATGGAACACGTGTCAAACATGGACTTTGCTTCGGGGCATCTGAGCATCCCAGATCTTCTGAGCTTGCTCACACATGTGGGCAACGTCGTCACATGGCACGTTCATGCGAGCAGCAATTGAACAATCCAAGGCTGGGATTCCTTGCAACATCTCAGCATACATCATTTTTGAACCAATCGTGCTCAAATTGTACTGAAATTGTGCTGTCTCATCTGTTTCCCGAAGGAACAATGGAACAAATGCCCAGCACATCACAAACTTGGCTGCCGGCAGCCCTGCTGCAAACCACGCCGCCTCGTTGGGACAAGCAATCCTTTTTACAACAGTTCAATTCACGCTCGCCAATGAATTCTTTCAAATGTTCAAGTCATTCATGTGCAACTCGGGGTGGGATTGTCTGGGTATCAAATTCAACCGCAACTAACCCAAGTAAAACATTGGAGGTCACAACGAGCCAAACAACAATGGCCCTCCAAGTTGCTGACAACGGCAGTGAAGTTCTTGGCCACGGGTTGCATCATCCTCCTCCTTGCGGGGAGACGTTGCCAAAATTGGACCATTTCAAACTTAGCAAAACGTCCCACAGCAAAACAACTATGCCAAAGCGTCCTCTGCCCATGCCATTGGTCTTGGCGGAAGTTACAAGCCAGGCAGCAGAGTGCGCTCATCGACACGTTCAATATGTGCAATGGCTGAACCCAAAAAAAATGCATTTGCAAATCGTGTGCGCTGTCACGGCTTTTTGGTCGTGCTTTGCTGCGCGCTTGGCATCGACCTTGAGGGTGAAACTCCACACATTTCCGTGGAACATGTGAAACAAACGAGGTTGAATTTGTTGTGATTCACCGCGGCTTTGCCTCAAATTCGATTCCACGCAAACACACAAAAACAAAACCACCAATCAACAAACACCACAAACAAACAACCAAACACGCAAACAATCAAGCAAGCACGCAAGCAAGCAAACAAGCAACCAAACAAATAAATACTCGGACCTGCAAACACATGTGCGCGCACACACACACACACACACATGCACGAACTTGCAAAGAAACAAAAAAACCCACCCAACCTCACCCACGCTCAGTGTTCAATGTGATTTCGTCGTTTCAACCCACCATTGCCGACTTTAGAAGAACACAACTGCTGAGAGCACCGCACCGGAAGCATTGTCATGGTTGGCTTCGTGGCGAATTCCTGGCTGCCATGCCGCTCGTGCATGTTGGTTCTCAGCTGTTTGAGGGACGCACTCTAAAGATTCAGACGGTGAAAAAGACATTGTCGACGGGCTGGTATCGGGCCTTCAAGCGCAATTCACTTCACACTCAACGTTGTAGAATTGACCACCAAGTGCCGCACAGAGTTTCTAGCGCTTTGAGTGGTTTCCTCCATACACGGCTGCTCGACATTTACTTCACAGAACCCACGCTCCTGGGCTGAAACTCGGCTTTCGCCTGTGCGAAAATCTGATTCTAGAAAATCATTTCAACCATGTGCAAATGCAATTCAGATTTCTCCGCACCTTGACGTGCACCACTGTGAAATCACCTGGAATCTGCCTGAGTGCCGCACAATTGTCACAATCAAACAAATACATCTATGTAGTCAACATATGGTGTGACAATTTAAGGTTCATTGCTTACCAATCGAGCCCCCTGCTTCCCAAATGAGTCATGGTACACTTCAGCTGGAATATTCTTGAACGCCTCGCACGGATGTTTTTTGAATTTTGGACTGTCCTGCCCCCCCCCACCTGTTTTTTTCTGCCTTGCCCGCCTTTGGTGAACAGTTGCACATTTTTTGAATGCCACGCCAAGCCATTCGCACAGGTGCTCTGCCGCGCAAAGCACAGGTGGCTCGCGGAGAAAGGGCTGGGATGTGATGGACTGGACGTCACTGTACATTTTGCCTCACCAGGAAAGCCTTGACGGCCTTCAGGGTTTCCACATGTCAACATATCTCAATTATCCCACCCGGCAAACTGTTGGCAGCTGAGGTTACCAGGGCAGCCACGCCTCTTGCCAATCCGAACTTTCCTCCAAAAAAATAATTTGAACACTAGGTGCTGGCTGACAGCCAGAAGCAGCAATGCACAATGCTGTTGAGATCAAGCTGGGCATTTGCTGAAAACACGTACCTGCAGCAACACCGTCTCTCAAGAAATCTGATGCTTTAAAACTGCCCGGCCATGCGCAAACATTCAAGACAGACAGGCCGAGCGCCTTGCAGTGTCTGGCAATAAGGATGGCAGCAAGACCTGCTGCCATGGCTGCAAGGCCCACAATGTGCCAACCGCTATGGGCTTCTATACCTGGCAAGTCTCTGAGGCGTTCATGACTTCAATGACTTTACCTACCCAATCCTTGCCTGCGATTTGGATTGCTTGGGAGCGAAACGACGTAAATGCTAGTGGCGTTGCGTCCGTAACCTGCAAGCTTGCAGCAATTGCCAGCGACACACTTGCAATCCCTGCCTGCATGCTCTTCAAATGACCCAGGACTGCCTTTGGGAAAGGGCTTGCCAATGCGATCTGGGCAAAAAGGGCAAAAGCAGTGTTTTGCCAAGCTTCAGCTTTTCGAGTCAGCTGCCTGCGCCGCTCAATGAGCCTTTTGAAGTTATCATCGTCAGGCAGCAGGCGGAAAAAGCGCAGCCACCTGGCATATTGGGACAGCCAACGGCCCAACGTCAGCATGCAGTCCCCGGCCTCCCACCACGCAAGTAACACCACCTCGACCAGGAAGCCACATGGGTGTGGATAAAAAAAGCACCCAACATGGAACCCTGGTTTAGGCTATACTGCGGTCCCCTTGTATCCCTGTTTTTGCCAGGCTGCGCTAGGAATCGCTGCACCACATCCAACTTGAGCAGAACAGCCAGCACTGCCACAGGCACCCCCAGCGCAAAAGCTACCAGCAATAACGTCAGAAGTGCCAGGGCGTTCACCATCAGCTGTGGGGTGAGGAGGATATTATCCATCACCTGGGCCACATGAGAAAAAAGTAATCCCTCGGTGTGAGTTGCCCAATGGACATTGCGGGCAAGTGGCTCGCTCCCAAGAAGCTGACGACCGAGGCGCAGAATTCTGCACCCAAGCATCCCTCATATCTAGGGCGATATCCCCAACGTCAGACCTAGAGGCAAACAGTTCAAACTTGCATAGGGCTGGTTCATGTTTCATGGCAAGAATCGCAGGACGAAGGGCCTGCGCCTGAGGTTCCGACGCAATCTTGGCAAGATACTCGAGACAGCAAGACTTTGCAGTCGCCAGAAAGGATTGCGAGGCTTGGTCGGCTTCGGCCAGAATCTCTATCAAGGTGGGGTTGTTCTGCCTGCCCACGGCGTGGCTGGGGTCGGCTTTGATCGACTCAGGGCTGCAACGCGGCACAGTAAAGGGACTGCCGTGTGACCGAAAAAACATGTCATTCATTTCCTTATCCACCAACGTTCTTCCCATGTCCATCTTGCAACATGCCACAGGGCAGAGGAGCAGAGGATATTCATTTAGGTGTGGCGCATCTCTCGAGTCCAGGCCTGCGGGCCCTCGCCAGCACACAAATAAGCAGTGCAACCACAAGCCACGGCCACAGGATTGGCCTGCGAGATTGGGGACGCGAGAGATCTTTGGCTGCCGCAGTGTCGCCCAAATCCGCCAGCTCCTTTAACAAGGCGTGAAGCAAGCGCTGGCCTGGGCTCCGAGCAGGGGCCTTCAGGCCATCCGTGCTCAGGGTGCATAAACATTTGCAAACTCAAGAGCCAAATTCGAGAGCCTGGTTGACTGCTTGAATCAAATGAAGTATTGGATGCAGGGCGGCCGCAAAAGGGCCAGTACTTTTCCAGCTGAAGTCGCATTCTGATTCCACATTCCGGCAACCTGTGACGCCACATCCCCCCCGACGCCGCATTCCTGCCTGACGCCGCGCTCCTATGCCACATTCTGACGCCACATGCTCTGACGACACATTTCCCTCGACGTCGCTTTCACATTTGCAACTGACGATGCACCGGAGGGGCAGCGTGACGGATGGGGTTATTGGATGAACCTACGTGACGGGTTTGCTTATTAGACAGTTCAGCATACGAGAGCAGTGTGTCCGGGTAAGGATACGGGAGCAGTGTCACGGATTGGGGGTGGGCCTACGCGCAGTGTTAGGTAAGCTCGGGAGCGATGTGACGGCCTTGCTCATAGAAGGGCCTATGGGAGCAGTGTCATGGGTGTGCTTGTCAGGTAAACCTACAGGAAGAGTGCGACACGTTCCTTGTGAGGTGTGGGAGCAATCTGACGGGTAAACTTGCGATAAGCGTGTGACGAGTGCACTTAATTACTGTGTAGCCTGTGCTCTTATTCGGTCAGGCTAGGGGCGTGGTGCGACGAGTGTGCTTATTAGGTGAGCTTATGGGAGCAGTGCGACGGGTAAGCCTACGGGAGCAATGAGTATTCGGTGAGAGCGCCTGAGCTGTCTGACTGGTGTGCTTGAAGGAAGAGACATCCGGGCGCCAACTGGCTACGGCATGTGGATCGCAGTTCCTTTCCAAAACCCTGAGCCCAGCAATTTGCAAGCCCCAAGCAAAAGGCGCATCAGCGAAGCTTGCCTAAAATATTGGCACGCTGCCCCTGTAGGCTTGATTGCAAACTCGTCACGCAGCTTCTGTAGACTTGCCTAGGAGGCACACCCATCACATTGCTCCCGCAGGCTTGCCTAATACGCCTGCCCGTCCGAAACCTTGCCCAATAAGCACACGCTTGCGCTTCGTGGGCTTTCCTAATAAGCGCACCCGTCTCACTGCTCCTGTAGGCTTCCACGCAACAAGCGTTTGTTGACTGAGTCTCGAAATTTGTTTCGAGTTTGGCCCTTCTAGTTAAGTGTTGGCCTCGGGAGTTTCGACAAAACACGTTTTGATTTTTCGGGGGCCTTTCTCATAGCGAGATTGCCACAAAGCGCCCGCTGCAGGCATGCTAGGTGAATGGCCTTCAGGAAGGAAACTCGGGAGGGAATTCGCCTTCGCACCTTCAGGGATACTCCGTCCGTCTGAAGGGAGCAGTGGCTGCTAAGGCTTTCGTTGGCCTGAGCCCGCCAACATTTTCGGCGTGCCGTGTCGCTAACAGAGGATACCCCCCCCCCCCCCACCCCGCTCAAATGCAAAGGGTTTGGGGGAAGGGGCCGGTGGCAGTTTCAGATTTCGACTTTGCAATTCGTCTTCGGGAGGAGTTGGGCTTCGGGGAGTCGTCACACAAAGTCTTTGGTGGGAATTCGTCTTTGGAATTCATCGGTGCATTTTCTCTTCGGAGTGGGGGCGAATTTGAATTTGGGGAGTTCGTCTTCGCAGTTTTTTCCATGTGCCTTGAGCGAATGTGTCTTCGGAATTCGTCTTCGTCTGCAGGTGGAAAAGTATTGCCGCCCCAGCGGCCGCCATGTGCGTGGAAACATCCATTGATATGAGGCTGTGTGAGGGGATGCCAAGGACATTCAGCCAAGCTTCGAGAGCTTCGCTCCAAAGATGTGAGGAAACTCTCAAGACGCCTCATTCGCCTCTCGCGCGTGGCCCTTGCGAACTCCTCCTGTGAGCCGTACAGGTCGTGCTTTCGAGGCGCAAAGAGGCATTGCCTCAGGGGCCGCCCAACATGTGACGTGCTCTGTAAAACGAAGCGCGCCAAAACCTTGGAGCACCAAGGCCAAGCAAAGCGGATGAAGGCTATGAGCAACACAATCTACTCAAATTTGCCGTCGCCTCACATGGTCGTGCGCTAGGTCAAGGTTCCTGAAACTTTTGCCGCACCAGCCACACATTCCAGATTTACACCTGCTGCATGTCAGCGCAAAGCAACCCTCGAAGTCGATGAAGGCTTGCCCACAGGCTTGGCACTTCAAGGTGAGGATGTCCTGCACAGTGTTGCGTGGCATGGCGTCCTACTTGTTCTGGGCAACTGCCACGGTTACGCTGGCAGGGCTTCGTGGCTCACGTGCTTTGTCCTCAACTACCCTCCGGCGCATTAGCTCCAGCCAATCTGCACTTGGGTCAGGCGCGTGGGCTGTGGCCAAAGCCTCTGTCTCAACGACCTTGAACATGGCCTGCAGCAAGTCGCGAAACTACTTGAACTCCTCGCTTGAACCGCACACTCCGAGGAGGCTGCGGACTAACATGTGCTCTTTCTGCTTGCCTCTTGGACTGCTGGATGGAAGCTAATGCAGCCAAAATGCATTCAAGTACCTCAGGGCACACTTCAAACATGTGGCCCCGAGCACGCTTTGACAAGTCCAAGGCCAGCCCTTTGGCCAGCGCCCCGATTGCCCCATGTTTGAGCAGTCTGTGACAAGTTGTGGCCAATGGCACTGGCCCTCTCTTGGCGTCTTTACCCACTCCCAGTCTTGCCCTTCCTCAGCCACGTTGCTTTTCAAAGCCGGCATTCGACAGGTGCAGCGCCAGAGAGTGATGCGAGAAGACCCGGGAGCATGAGGGACTTGGGCAAACAATGCGCCCAGCAGTTCTTCTCCTGGCATTGGCCAATGCAACTGGCATCCCAGAGTAAAAACTGGAAGTTGAGCCTTTTTGAAGACAGTGTGGGTCAACAGGTTGCAACGAGATTCTTGCGTGTGAGATGTAAGTATCTACGGCCAAGTTTCTGCAAGCGCAGTTCGGTCTCGGCATGGCTTTGGACGTATCGCTGGAGGCAGCCCTTGCAAAGGAAGTGTGGCTCCTTACCCGCAGCCGAAAAACGCAAAGACATAAGAGACAACACACCACGTAAACAACCACACGCTCACAGAAAAACATACGAGCACACACGGCCACACAAAACACAAAACCAACACGCAAACACAGCACAGCACACACAACCGCACAACCAGAAAACAGCACAGACACACAGACGCACATAGGCACATACAGAGACGCACGCACAAACACACAAAACAGACACACACACACACACAGACACACACAAGGACACACATGCACACGCACAAACAAACAGACGGACGGACAAGCAGGCAGGCAGACAGGCAGGCAAACAAACACACACACACACAGACAAACGCACAGGCAGGCACAGACACAAACACACGAACACAACAACACACACATACACACAAACGCGCAAACACAAAACACAGAAAGCCACCCACTCACCCACCCCACCTCACCTCACCTCACTCCGACCCACCCCACCCCACCCCACCCCACGCATAAAACCAACAAACAAAGAAGCCAAACCAAGTCAAGCGTAGACTAAACTTAAACCAACACCACCAAACACACACACACACATACACCCCACATTCACTTGCGCAAGCATGGACGACACTGTAGGCTTGCAGGTGCACACAGGGCACGCGCAAGCAGGCGAGCAGGCACGCACAGACTTACGCAGATACATAATATCATCAACATTGACCTATCCACATGTATGCGTATCTGGCACCCGTGACAACCGGAACTGTCAAGAGCAGTCAAGCGTCTTCTTCCGAGCATTGGATGCCTTGCCCCTGTGGAAAATGCTCGAGGCAAATGCAGCAAGCTTCCGTGCTCATGGCAACGGGCGTGCGCAGCCCAACAGTTGACCTGGCATCTCTGAGCAGAAGCTGCAGTGTGCCTGAACGAATCAAACTGCCTGTCGCAATAGCTTGGCCGTTGCAATCATTTTTTGCTTGCCAGCACAGCGCAGTTGACTCGACGCTCACGCTTTGATCACCTTGTCCACCACCTGCTTGTTGGATTTGAACCCAAAGCAAATGTCGTATCTCTCATACCGTGTCAGGCCTTCCTGTAATCCAGGCTGCCAGTTGATGGCAAGCCTGCGGCTCCACATATCTCCTGCAGCAGTGGTTGCAGCAGCCATGCACACACAAGCAACTCCCAGCGTGACCAACCCGCAAGTGCAAAGCTTAGATGTATCCAGCCTCGAATTCTTGTGGCGAGAGCTTCTCCCCAAGGCATGTCACCTTAGGTCATTGCAATGCCACCAAAGATACTCCAATACCCAAGGTGCTGAGCTTCCAGCAATGTGTCCCAAATCTTTCATTTCCATTTGGCCTGAGCCTGTCTGGTCAAAGACTTGGAAGGCCTGGCATAGGGCATGAACAAACCCTTATGATTTTGCATTCGGAGAGCTCATCCCCCTCTGCACCTGCATCAGTGCTTGCGCCTGCCCAATTTCGCGTCATGCTGTGTTCCCCAATGCTAGCGGGTCTCGGCTTGCCTGCTTCTCTGGGTCTGGCTTCTTGGACGCCAGTGTCTTGAACTTGTCCCAGGACACGGAGGCACCAACTTCATCCTCGACCCAAACGACGAAAGGCGGAAGGTGCCAAACGAGACCGCGCCTTCATGCTGCTGACCTCTTTTTGGGTGAGCACAAGGCCCAGGGACCGCAGTGCCTCTCCCAGATCATCTGCCTCGGCGACCAACTCATCTCCTTCTCGTTCTCCTTTCCAGGGGCCGGGCTTTGATTTTCCCGGAGGACTCCTGAAGCCGATGTGATTTGGACGTGTTAGATGCGATCCGCGCTCCTTGTCAAAGAGATCAAAGCATTCCTTCCACTCGGCCTCCGAGGACATGGCCTCGGAACGCCTCTCCCATTTTGTTTTTGCGCCGACGCGCTGACTCTGAGAGCCCGGCGCAACGGATGCTGGATGTCCAGGTGGCTTGTCACTGGCTAGACTTTCTGTGCATTTGCTACGGTTTGCTATGTGTTGGGAGGGGCTAACGTGAGCCATGTTGCAAGTGCAGCTTGACAGCTTGAGCACGATGACTGAAGAGATGCCATGCAAATGGCAGCGTGCACACACACGCACAAGCATCTTGTAAGCCTGCGCAACCAAACAAAAAACAACAGCGAATGATTGTGAAAGTGTAAGAGCCGCTGGAAGAGTACGTGGGATTCCCTTGGGTATTGAAATCAAGGCAGTTTCTGGGCAAATCGTGTCTGCAGGCAGGCCTTCTTGCGAGCTTCGCGAAGTTTGGCCTCATAGCCTTTGTCTACCGCCCAAATCAGCTCCTGGAAAGAGGGCAGTCAGTGCCCACGGAAATGTGACCATGACTAGCGATAAGACTTTTAACTAAACCCATCACTCCATCACATCCCTGAAAGCAGCAACTCCCCTGTTCAGGCCACAACAGCTGGGGTTGTAAACAACTGCATGGTAGATTCATGCCCCTTTGGAAGGAACTGGGCTCTCCTGACGAATACCCGTGGGGCCCGCATGATGTGCAAGGATTTCTTTAGCCTTGCTTCCAAGAAACTTGAGTTTCTGACCAAACCATGTCATATTGGTGTGTCAGGGAGTATGCTCTAAGATGCCGGCAGTCAATCTTCCTGCCTCTGCTGCCATGCGCAGCTTTGTGAGAGCAGGATCCTGCACCAGAGTGTTCGCATGGCCAAGTTGCTGAATTTTCTCAGGTGTGCGAAAAGACAAAAAACAAAACCAAGGTCAGTCCGGATCTGGGGGCTCACTCACCTGATAAGCTGCACGTACCTGCCTGTGAAGCCTTGTGTGCATGAGGCCTCGGAGTCTGTCTCTGTTTCCTCCTCTTCCTTCAGCTGGGTGAGATAAGTCCATCATGTGTACACACACACACACACAAATGACTTCTGGCCTCCTCTTCTGGTTCCTCCACCTTCTCCGGTTCGACCTTCTGCCTCGACCTGTCTCAAGCAAAGCTCTAGCCCAACAGCATCAACTTTCCTTCGAGCAACTCAAGTTGAGCTGGGCACCGATACCACTTCCGGGCCTCATGTGCCCAAGGCACTCTTGACACGGTCACATGCTGCCCGGGCACCCGGCTTTGAAACCCGCGGTTATTGCGCCCAGGGCCACAACGATGACCTGTGCGACTTTGGATCACCGAGCCAGCGCGCAATTTCGAGACTCGGGCGATGCCGAGGATCACCTCCACGCTGACCCCAGTGTCGTCATCCTCCACGGGCGGAGGCGACGTTGTTGGATCCGGCGGCGCCTCGCAGGCGAGATGATGCCCTGCCCCCATGACCCTCGAGAGCCTCGCGGACAACCCGGTACAGGGCAGCGAAGTATCCGTAGCTCTGATTGGACAAGCAGGTCCTCAAAAATTTCATGGACATAGTTGATATTTGCTGCTTTAAAACTGAACATGCATAATTTCACCCGAGCTGAAGCCAAGTACCCCACAATTGCGAAGACTCGTTGTCGACTGCATCCTTCAGAGCCACTCCGTCTGTGGACCTGAGAGGCTTCGAAGGCCCCATTCCTGCTTCGAGCTCTCATGCGCTGGTCAAGCCCTGCCCTATGCACGTCGTGTGGCAAAACACAAGAGGCGCAACTCCAGCAACTGAATCACTGAATCAACTCTTTCCCAATCCTTGCCCTTTCCCTTCAGCGCATGGGTCCAGTGGGTCGAGCTTCGCTGAGTGCCAGGCCAGGCCCCGAGGCCTGGAACCATGCATTCGCTTTATGCTCTTACCTCTCGCAAAAGTTTGACACGGAGTGGAAGCTCACAAACATGTGTACACACATATAGATATGTATAATATATATATACATATAATCTAATGTGTGCATACTGTATATATAGTAGACCATACACACACACACACACCTATATATATATATATGTTTACTTATCAATGAGGGCCGAACGACTCCAACACATGAAATGCAAGGCATCGGGATCGGTAGGTGATCAGGAGGACGGTGGCTTGGGAGCTGAGTGCTGGACCGGTGTCATACACTGCACACAAATGCTCCACAACATAGCCTTGACTTGATTGTCACGGGTCACGGGCCACTCGAGACAGTGGCTCGGCATGACTTAGCACGCAGCCCATTTGCACACCCTCCGGATGAACAATATCGATGTCGATCTCGAGAGGGGAGTCCAAATCTGACACAGCATATGGCTGAGATTGAGATATGGCCAAGGAGAAAAGGCGGGCAATACACACCTGTTGCCGCCAGCCATACCCAGCCTTCTGACAGAACTGGCTGACCGCAGAGGCGTAGGAACAAGCCCTGCAAAAGTTGAGAGCCGCTCTGACATCAAGTTGCTGCACCCATATATCCGAGCCTTGATGGTCGTGTTTGGTAGAACAAGGTCTGTGACTCCTAAAAAGCTTGTCTTTTCACGGTCAAGAAGTGAACTCAATGACAATCGTGCTGTGGGTTGCCGACCGAACCCCGCAGGTGCCGCAAAAAGCGGATTCAAGTTGTACCTGAAACGCAGGTTGAGGGTGCTGGCGCCCAGAAGTCTCAAAGGGCCGTACCACTCAGTGATTTGCGCATCCATCTCGCAGCTTTGAAGCCGTCTGCCCAACAAGTCCCTGGAACGGGCTGCAAGAGAAAAGCTGGCGAGCCTGGACTCTGTCACGAGCTAATGGCAAGCAGGCCTTGAAATGTTCACACCTGCCAACTCGATGTTGCCTCGGCTTGGAAGACTTGTATCTTGACGGTTTGGGGGGTAGCACGGCGCCGGCTCAAAACGCAGACTTTTCACTCCTCTGTCCTGTCTCCTTTCAGTGAAACGCGGCAAATGCGGCAAGCAGTGCCTGGAGCAAGCTGTGCCGCGGGACATTATCGTTGCATTCTTGCACGAATGCAGGCAATGCAGGCTGCAGGGGCTGGAATCATGCAACAAATGTGCGCATGCCAATGGGATTTGAGGCCAATGGGTTCAGTCTTTGCCGCTCCTGGCAGCTTTTAGGTGAAGTCATGCAGAAATGTTACACCGAGATCGTCACATCTGCCATTCAAGATGTGCGAGCCTGCGGGCCTCCCTTGTGACATATGAATAGAAAGCAGGAAAACGTTGCTCATTGAAGGCGCAAGCTGCAAGCGTCTCAATTGGAAGGCTCCGCGGCCCAAACAGCAAACTGTGGTCTGTGCCCTCTCTGCTCATTGTCAGGGTCAGGGCTGCCACAGCCAGAGGAGGAATCTGAGAGGAGGGGCATGCAAAGGCCAAGTGTAGGTTGCCAGGAACAAGACTTGAACATTGACACGTCGGCTTGCTGCCCAGCAGCATGATCAGCACTCCGTGCAGGTAAGCCTTCTGCCCGCTGGAGGTCTTGGCGATGGAAGTGGACCTCAATGTGCCACTCTTCATGTTGCATCTCGCAGTTCCTTGTCTCAGCCTTCCCTTTCTCACTTCTCAAGCGCGCCCAAAATCAGAAGCAAGCGTGCGCCCTGCTTGCCAGGCTGCAATGTCCGAGTGGTGGTCAGCACACTTGTAGTAGTGAAAGTTGTTGAGGTTGCAGTTGCGGGCGGTGCCTAAGTTTGAGCGGTGGACAAACATGGAAGTCTCAGCCCAGCCCCAGTTGCCAACTCAGGTGGCTACCGTGGTCGGCTCCTGAGCGTTCTCTAAGCAGGTGGAGGCGTAAACCCCAAACATATTTCACAACACAATGCAAAGCTCAATCCAATCATGTTGTCAGCCCATCAAACTGCAGCCAAATCACGCTTGTGCTTGGGACTCTCATGCTGTAAAACATGTCCTGCCACATCTATTGCTTATGCTCAGTTGCACCCACGGAATACATGCCACAATGTGAATGACACCGAATCCAAGCCAAGTTTGAAAACATCCGGTCAGTGGTGATCGGAGGGCAGCTGCACTTGCGCTCGTAGCCTTAGGAATGCAACAGCCGCCACTGCCCAAAGCAAGTTTGGAGAGGCTCTTAAATCAGCTTTGGGCAACGCCGAGCTGCAGGATCCGTAGCCTTCGAAAGGGAACCAGAAGCCCTCTCCTGCTGCAAGCAACTCTTTCGCCCGTGCCTCTTACAATATTGATAACTTTGCAATCTGGGGGGCCAGACTATTCAGAAGCCCCTGAAAATGAACCACGTTGTGACACACATTGTGCCAAATAAACCAGGGAATCGCCCTTCACCAGTAGGGCCCCTCAGTTGCGCCAAGAGGGCTCCTCTGCGCCGCCAGCTGCAAATTACAGGCCCAGACACGTCGCTGCACACTGAGAAGTAGACCTGTCTGGTGGCTGTTGATGGGTCCGGCTTTGTTGGCTTGCCACTAAACTTTAGGCATGTCATTCATGCCGTTGCCAAGGTGCAGCACCGTTCATCTCCTCGACCCCCATGCTGTCTACAACTGTAGTTGTGGTTGTTGTTGTGGTGGTCGTGGTCGTGGTTTCCTAAGTGGTGTATCCACAAGTCGGGTACAATGAAGCTTCCAATGCAAAGACTTGTAGCAAGCGGCGGTGATGCAAATCTTTGGCCTTGGATGTGTCACTGCCCAGCAAATGCGCAGCATGAAGAGCAAAACAAGGCAAATGGCATCCGCCACTTCTTCGCCCAGACACCCACTTGCCACAGCCATGGCCTCTGTCGTGTAGTGTTCTTTGCCGTCCATGGTCAGACGGATCTGGTGTTCATCGTTGCCTGCTTTCCAGGCCTCAGCTTGGGCCTTTTACGCCGTTTGGGCCTTTGGGCCTTTGGGCCTTGCACTGAGGCCAAGTCTGCAACCAAGTGGCAGGACACTTGCAGATTGCACCAGAACAGGTGCTGACACCACCAAAAAGCACCCAGTTCGTCGTGGACATATCCCTCCAGTGGCAGTCTAAAGTTCTCGGTGGCTCCTGAACCAGAACGCTAACAGTCCAGACCAAGGTGACATGCTGATCCTGAATGTAGACATGTAGACAGGCTGTTTGATCACTGCTGCCTGCTTCTGAGGCAACTGCCCCCAGCTGAGCAAAACCAATGAACTGGTGTAAGAGCATTATCAGGCCTTCTAGTTTGTGCACGTCTAACCTAGGTCCCCGGTTGGCCCCATCCGCATCCTCGGCAAATATGTCCCGACAGAGTTGGAACACAATGGTGCCTCCGATCCTCAGTGCCAATGTGCATGCCTTGAATTCAATCGAAAAAGCTTCGAGACTGAGTGCCCGCAAAAGCAAGTGGCACATTACTGCCACAAAGGTCTTGCTGAGCGACTCGGTGGCGCCAACATACTGGCCAGTCGTGGTCATGGTCGTTGATGTCATTGTGCTCGTCTCCGGCATGCAATACCTGAAGAACAAAGCCCGCTGCATGCATGATGCTCAGTGACAACAATGCAGCCTTGACTACTTGAAAGGTACATCAAGCCAAGCAGCTTGGTACCCACTGCCCAAGCCTCGATTTCTGTTGCAATGAACTCCACATCATTGATCACCATGCGCTGCTCTATGACCAGGGTTGTGGTCGTGATGGTTGTTGATGTTGTTGATGTGAGAGTTGTGGAAGTCGAGGTTTGGGTGGCAGATGTTGACGTCATCGACGTGGTACTGGTGGCCGTGTGGGTGACGGTGGTCGACGTGGGTGGCATCCGCACTGCCTCACAATTGCCAGAAACTCGCAATGCCTGAGTTCTTTCAACCCACAGGCACACACACAAAAACGCACGCACGCACGCACGCACGCACGCACGCACACACACACACACAATGCTAATCATTCGAGTACAACTGATGAGTCTCGAGTACAACCGACAAGTCTCGAGTAGGATGAGTTTCGGCTCGCAAGGCACTCGGTTTCCCTCTAGAGGCGAAAACGTTACAGAATCAACATGAAGCACACACACAGCGAGAGAAACAACAGGCCAAAAGGACTTTACATCACCAACTCCAAATGTCGCAGGTACGTCGAGGTGATCAGCCTCGATATCCGCATTTGCTGTGGCCGCTTCGTTGGACCATCGCACACAGCAAACGGATGGTCCCCCTGCTGCAACAGAAAACGGTTTTGGTGGCAGGGTTTTCTGCCACTCCGCACACACACGCCCCTCTACGAGGGGCGAGGTTTCTCTTTTCTCCTGCAGGAAGATCACATGCTCAAACTCAAATCTCTATCGTTGACCAAAATATCCTCCACGGCGAGGGGAGCGAGACACCGCCCTAAACCGCTCAGAAGACGGGAACGAAAGATCACCACGTTGAGCATTGCGAGTGTCGCCATAGAGGACTGAAGCGATTTGCGAAGCAGCCGGGCGATCACCATGAGAAAACGGAGTGGCATAGGTGAAGGTCTCCTCAACTGGAACGGCATCGGAGTTTCGAACTTGACCAAGAGTCTGATCATGTGGATAGTGAGTTGCGAAGGACTCAATCCGAGACAAAATGCGCTGGTACCCTTGGTGTTGCCAGTCACGGATGTCCCATGCCTGGACTGGCGCATCGGGATCCGTCACCCGCTGCCATTCACGAAAAGAATTTTCAGGTAGATCAGGTACGGCGTCACCGCGGTGCCATCGTTGAGGTTGTCCTGGAGTGTATATCCGCACCCACTCCTGATCATGCCAGACCGAATATTCGAGCCATGGGTGCTGCTTCGAATCATCGATGTCCATGTCGAGGCAAGAGGCAAGGATTGTCGCGGGCTCCGATCCAGCTAGTAGATGAACAAGCACCATGCACAACCATGTTCAAACAACAGCCAAGCAAGATCATGCAAGTGTAGAGGCCACCCTTATTTTGTACGCTGCGCTGCTCATGCAAGTCTAGTCTTCAGTCAGCTCGAAGACGGGACTCATCTTGTCTTGGCCGCTGTCGGAAGGATTCACGGGCCTGTAGGGGTCGGAGACCCCAATCGTCTCCGATGGTGTGTTTCCACGCGATGCACGTACTGGTTGATGAGGATGGGAGGCCAGACGTGCGCGGGCCGTCAGTTGTTGAGAAATCCCCTCCTGGAGACGAGTCAGTTCTTCAGTGGAGAAATCAGCCGCATCCGAGGACCTGAGAATCGCGTCTAACAGCTCCGGCGACATACTCAATGCCGCAGACTGCGTGGCCACGCTGTGATGATCGGAGGGATACATGGAATCAAATTCATGACCAGCGTGAGGGGCAGCGATTCTCCGATAGCCCTCTGTGGCCCAGTCTCGTTTGTACCACGTAGTGACTTGGACCTGCCCTTCGACTGAGTCCTGGTTGGGAGCATAGAACTCCCTCCATTCTCTAAAAGTATGCGGAGGAGGTGGAGCATCATGTTCTTCTTGTGGCGTCCATGGTCCCGGATGAAAGATCTTGACCCACTGGGCATCTGGTTGTTGAGGGTCCGGGCACCATTCCAGCCACGCCATGACAACGCAACCACGGAAAGACAAGTTGATAGGTGTACGGCTGCAGACAACAACGAGTGAAAGCAAATCAACTATCATAATGCAAAAGACCACTTTTGTAGCACTGTGCGGCGCCAACATCAAAGTCAGACTCTCCAGGAAGGCGAGGACGGGCATCAGCTATCATGTGAATTAGATGATGCCGAGGAGGAGGTCAATCCAGCATACATGAGGTCCGGTGCACCCGAAGCGAAAACTGGCCTCGCTATGCTGGGATGTGGACGACCCAGGCGTTGGTACCCCTTGGTGACCCAGTCCCTGTAATACCAAGTGTAGAAGGTGGCGTAGGATACCGGTTGCAGAACCGTGCCTATAGTTGTGCCGCCCGTGCTTTCCCTGGGCCAGTACACTTCGAAGTGGTGGACCTTGCGCCATTCCCGATAGGTGGTCGGGTCATCCGGGGCCGGTCCCAGGGTGTCAGGGGCTACTGGATGCCACTGACCCGGTACATAGATTCGAATCCATTCCACACTCGTTCCTGCTGGCCCATTGACGATGTCATAGTCAAAATAGCGAGGTAGGACCCATCGTGCTGCACCCTGCACCGTACTATTGAACATTTCAACCCGACAAGCTGCTCAAAGTTATCACGGAAAGCGGCGGACACATAGAGACGACATGCACAGCACCAAGCAAGACAACCCAATGAGAACTCACATACAAAGCAAGCACAACCGCATCTTTATCCAACATGCTACTCAAGTGTCAATCCGAATCATTCCAAGGATCATGGAATGGCGGCGGTGACGGTTCCCGCCACGCCCCATCCGGTACCGACGAGCCCACCGAGGACTCGATGTCTGCATTGACGAGCATCGCGAATCCGATGGATTGGACAGGAGGTCCAAGTCGTTGGTACCCTCGCGTTTGCCAGTCTCGGTACTCCCACACGTGATAGGACACATAGGAACTGGGCGTGGCTATAGGATCCATTGTGGTGCCTCCGGTGCTGTCTTCAGACCAGTACACTTGGAAGTGATATGATCTGCGCCACTCCCGAAACGTGGAAGCGTAAAGTGGGTCCGGAACTGGCGCCTCCTCAGGAACGGGCCTCCAAATGCCCGGAGAGTAAATTCGAATCCATTCCACTCCTCTATCGATCTGGTACTCGAAATACTGGGGGTTCATAGCAGCAATACGGGCTTGCACGACTGCTAAACCAGTCGAAAGTCTGCGGCAAGGACACACATGCATTGCCAACCGCACATATCCGCTGAGAGCGAGGCAACTTTTCAAACACAAGGTGAAACGCAGCAACGAGGTCTGAAATGTCTGACTCCTAGCTTTCACTGTCGTTGATGTCGCGCACACCTGCAATGATAGTGACCTGGTCGTCTACGAGCACAAGGGGAAGACATTTCCGTCCATGGCGCAGGATGGCGTGGCAGTAATGCTTGCATGTTGCCGATGGGGATTGCGATAAACGGCCAGCACGTTTGGAATAAAACACTGTAAAGGGCCGTCGAGATCGCCGCGGCGCTGAAGCTGATGCTGTCCGAGATCGTTTGGACGAGCGCCCTGGACTGCGTGGTTCTTCATCACGGGAAGGGTCAGTGCTGTAGATCGAGCGGCGTGTGCGCTGCGATTTCGAAGAGGTAGGGCAGGATTGTCCGCGAGGGGCTGAGATCGAGGGGCTGCGTACCGAGGGCATAAACTGTGGGTGTAGAATCACCGGTGGTGGTGGTGGTGGTGGAGGAGGAGGTGGAAGAAGCAATGGCAGACTTGGCGGGGGCGGAGGCGACGTAGTCAGCCGAATGGGTCTGTCGAGTAGAGCCCCGGGTCCATGAAATTGTAACCACGTCGGCTGCGCTCCATGGGTCCAGGTAATGTACGTCTGTACAACTTGTTCTGACATGATTTGAGCAACTCAGGCAAGACATCACTGCATGTCAACGACATCTCACAACACGACAAGCAAGATTGAGTCACGTGCAAGCAAGCAAATATCATGTGATCAACAACTCGAACCGGACACACCGCCGCTGCTTATCATTTGGTCCATCAACGGTCGCTGCTGCATTTGACGGGCATGTTCCTAGCCGCGAGCCTCAAGTTGTTGATAGACCTTCCATGCCTGCTTGACTTCCTCAATCGGCTTCTGAAGAAACCGCGCTATGGTCTTATAGGTGGGCCTGGAATCCTTATCTTTCTTCCGTCTCACCATTTCATCCAGCTCACCCTGTGTCCATGCCGTGAAAGGTTCACGGTATGCATTGCGAAGTGCAATGGTAAATTCTTGTAGAAGTTCCCGAGGACCATGAACCACCGTCGGCGACGGCCGGAACGACGAGGCACCTGGATGCGGACGTACCGAACCATCAGAATCCGAATCAGGTGTCGTAGGCGTCGTCTGTCCTGGCTCTCGTCCACCGTGTGCCGCGAAAGGAGCAAGGGGACGAGGCGGTGGCAGTCGATCCAACATAGATTCGGGCCGAGTACCAGGATTGTGGTCACTAGCATCACGATGTGCCGCTCGAGGCGGGGACAAAGCCGGTATGTACCAGGTAGATGACGTGTCCACCGGTCGAGCCCGAATGCGTGTGGGGGATCGAGATCGGTCAGATGAGGCGTGCTCCGTGATGATGCGGGGCCGCAACCCATGTCTGGAGTTTCTTGGTGCTCTCGGGGTCACCACCGTGTCTGTCGGACGACCACGCTCCGTCATCAAGGCAAAGTTCAGGGTGTCCAGAGCTGTCGCAACTTGGGATGCAAGGACATTGAGCACAGCCACCAGGTTGTTCACAAACTCAGCTGACAACTGCATGGCAACCGATCAAACCACAAGGTCAACTCAAGCAAAGCTGCAAAGCGATAATGCTGCGGCATGACAGAGATACGGTGCATGCAAGCATGAACGTAGCAAACGCTGAGGTACTTTTGTCGCTGTTGCTCCGTCACCGTTCATAAGACAGACCTGATGGTCTGCAAGCTGGCATGGCTTTGACCGCCGGTGGATACTTAGGAGTGTGAGCATGACGGCGGACCACGGGAACCGCATCAACAGGACGGTCTGGGAGCCGTCGATGATGGCTGCGGGATCGTCTCCGGTGCGGCTCTCGATGCCTAGATCTTCGCCTTCGTCTGTGTTCCCAGGAGGTGCTGACACTCACCGTGCGTACGTGAGCAGGGTGCTCCGCACGGCTATCCGTGGTGGCCACGAGAGTGACCGGCGTTGCCATGTGGTCAGGTCTGACCGATGTTGCTGGCAAGTACGG